AACTCTGCAAAAAAATTTCTTTCTCTGATCCCCCCCCCCTACTCCTTGGAAATTCCAAATTCCTCAGTGGGGACAGGGTGTGTGAGGAGGTATGGTTAATTTCTGAAACTACACAATTGAATAAAATCATGTTTCCAAGTCCCCTTAGTTTCCCATAAGCTGAAGAAGAATTTTGCAAGTCAAATACAACAGAATTAAAAAATCTGATCAAATGAATATTCTTACATTGAAAATAACCAACATTTGCTTTGGTTGGACATTTGACCAAACATACTTGGGTTTTGTCAAACATGCTTCTGCCTGCCTGACAAATGATTTGCTTTAAAGAAAATATTTGTAGGCTTGCAACTCAAACAAAGAATCGTATTCTCAGGGAATGAAAATGGGAAAAATACAATAACAAGCTAAATAAGGTTTATTCCGCTTGAAAACTGCTGCAATAGTAACTGAGTTGCTATTGCCGGTTTTCACATGACGTCATCAAAATATCAAAATCTAAACTATAGATCGTATAGAGGCATTTCTCAAGTATGTTTTAGAAGTCAGTGTTATAAGTCACAAGAAAAAATCTCGAGTCATTTTGATGTTTGGCTCTCGAGTTATGAAGGTTGAGTTCGTGTCATGCAATACCGTCACGTCTATCTAAATAGCAATCAAAATAGTAAAATAATTTACTCTAGTTAAAAGATTTTCCCTTAGACACGTTTTAAAGATTTATTTAAAGTATATTTAAGTGAAATATAGTCAAAAATATTTTAAAATTCCATCATCTTAAGCCTTTGAAATTTCGTCCATCATGATGGTGTACCAACTTGGAACACCAAGATGGCCGCTCCATACATTTTAACCAAAAATTGTGTCATGTTTACTCGCCTATAGTTCCGCAATGAAATGCTTTACAGCCTCAACATTTGGCCAGAATATGTAGTTTTGACTGCTTTACAAGATTATGAAACTTTTATTTCATTATAATGCGAATTTACGCTTTTGAAATTCATGATGACGTAGGTGAAAACCAAGAATAGTCTGAGTTAGAACCATGAATTGGTTACTACGATGGCACACTAGCTTGATATAGCAAGGGGAAAGATTTGGTAGCTTTTCACTGTCAAAATTCTTTTATTTTACTTAGACCAACTGATCCAAGGAAAAGTTCCCTTAATGAAATTGGACAGAGTTGGATCAATTTAGTCTTTTTGCTGTGTTTTTCATCATCTTTTTAAGCTTTCTAAGTCCAGCCTTGCCTTAAATTATATTTATAAACAAGTCATTATTCACACTTAAGAGTTGTCACTATTGGCCATAAAAGCACTTAATTTAATTTTGTTTTTTTAAATTTCTTTAAAAAGAAATAAAATCTAATATATTTATAACCATGATTTTAAAATTCCAGTTGAAGATCAGTTTTGTCTAAGTTTTTTTCTCACTTGAGTTCTTTATACATTCAACGAAATCAGTTGTGAATGCTAGACTAAGCTTCAATGATCCAACTAGAATATAGAAAACATATATTAAAAAATTATTTGGGTAATGATGCATATCACAAAATCATCGGAAAAGATTTTTTTTGATGTACATGTATATTCTAAAGGGCTGTTTACATGATGCTGGAATGAGTTTCATTCTGGAACAAGTTCATCCCGGTGCCATATTTCTTTGTATTTGTTTTACATGATACCAGGGTAAAATTCCATTTCAGAACGAATCATTCCGGAATGAGTTACTGTAATCCTGGTTTTCATTTCAGAATAAATCGCTTGTTCTGGAATAATGTTCAGGGCGTCGCAGGGCACCTGAGCCATGAAGACCATAAAACAATAGCTGAGAACAATGAGTTTGGAGCTAAACGATACCCTGCAATACAAAAACCCTAATCCAGAATACAATAAAGCTTGATACACCAAGGAAGACCCCATATTCCATACCAGTACCATGGTAGGAACACTCATTCCAGAATAAAATCACTCTTTGGGGTGACTGAAACGAGTGACGAATGCACATCATACATTTCAAACTTGAACTCGTTCTGTGAATTTTTCTTATGTAAACGTGCGCAGTATGACACATCATTCTTGTTCTGGAACAAACTCATTCCAGTATCATGTAAAGGGCCCCTAACAACACTACAATATCAAGTATAAAAATGTATGAAAGTAATAAAAGAATGAGTTAAAAAATATCATAGTTTCAGTCAAGTTTCATATCATATTTCAGCAATTCTCGTTATTCCTTTTTACTACAGCAGAAAAAATTGAGAACGTTTATTGAATATAGAAAAGTATGAACATAAACATATTTTTGGTCATATAGGATGCGAAGGAAGACTCTGGAAAAAAAGATTTTCTCAAAAATACCATTTGAGATAATCCTTACGGGATTTTTTATACAATAACGAATGAACTATAGGAATTCAGATCTTTTTATCTGTTTAAGTTACGAATGGACTTTAGTGAAAATATTCTGGAAAGTTATATAAGTAAAGCAGGTTTTAACACCTTATTGACCAACCAGATTTCAGAATACGAAAATATGGCATTAATAAACAATTAGCTCTTAAATTACAGCAAAATTATGCTCAATATACAGAAATATTTTGTTAGAAATAAATTCCTGTAACGACTTACCCTTTTAAGCATGATAAAGGAGCAATACTTGTGAGATCACGGCATTCTGATAGATCTAGAGAAGAAAGATTCTTCAGGTATTCAACAGGCGAGAGATCCAGTATAGAAGTCTCAGAAAGATTTAAAAACAGCAAGTCATTCAGTCCTTGTGAGATGCATTCAAATTGTTCCTGAGAAATTTGTGTTTTTCTCAGATCTAGAAACTTCAAATGGTTGAAATCTCCAACATCGGTAAACTCGCAGATCCGATCACACTGTCCTAGATTTAGACACATTAAGGTATTTTTACATCGGTGTAAATACTTGAGACCATTTTGAGTGACTCTAGTACATGAAGATATGTTTAGTTCTCGTATAGGTTGACAAGCTATATGCTCCAAGCCCTTATCAGTGATCGAAGCCCCTTTTAAGTTAAGTCGTACAATTCTGCTCGTCTGCGGATTCGAGAACGATGACAGGAAATTATCATTACAGTCTCCAGACTTGAGTCTCTTGGATATGAAAGCCTCGCAAAGATCTTCAGGAAGGAAGACATGGTTTTGGGTTTTGAAGGTGCTCGACTCTAAAAACATTAGAGACGTATCCATACACAGCTCTAGCAACGATGCGACTTCGCCAACCGTCATTTTGAAGCCGTTTTACCCAACTTGATATATTAGTTGATCTACAAGGCATCAACTCGTGTCATGAGTCTTTTGTTTGCACAGTATTTACGGCCATTTTTTTGGACAAAGCGAAGACGATTACTCCGCTCTGTACATTTTGAACCCAAAGGTTCCCAAGGTCGCCGCAATGGCCTATGGTTGCTAATGATGCTTGGGATACCTGTGGCATATTTCTTCATTTTATAACCTATAACGAAAACAGCTTCGGATGTTAAGATTATCAATTAAAGTTTTCAGTAAGATAAATATAGCTTTCTGAAACAATACAAAGAATTAATTCGAAGGGAAGAATAATTGTAATGCTTTTATAAACAATACGAAATTTATGTTCCGTTGGGTTACCTGTGTTGCTGTGTGGCTAGCTCAGTCTTCATAAACTTGGATGAAAAATAGCTTTCAACTCCGTTAAAATACTTAATTTAAATTTGGAATAGAATGAATATCATCTTCTAAAACAATATAAAAGATGAATTCAAAGGGGCATATAAAAAATTACTTTTATCAACAACACAACATTTTGCAGTTTGGGTTTCCTGCGTATGTGTTGCGTGGCTAGTACACAGTGTTCCTCGGAATTGTCTCATTTGATTCAGTCAAGATGGACCTTCGAGTCGGTCTTTCTTCAATTCTTTCAATTTTCTTTACATTATTTCATATTTCCAACGCTAAATTGACGCCAGAGAAATGCAGAGARCTAGGACTATCGGCTAACCTACTTTGTGGCTCGTGTGATGAACTTAAACAGTTTAAAATGGAGGAGTTAATAGAGAATTGTCGAAGTTGCTGCCATGAAGAAGGAAGTCACAGCCAAGACGCGGCCAAGGTAAAAAAAAAGCATTCTCTTTTTTCATAACAGTTTTAATGAATAGAAAGCCTAAGGATTAATGAAGGAAGCCTAGCATATTTGGTATCAGTAGTGGTTAGTTGAGGCTAAACAGCCAAAACTTCAAAACGTAAACTTCATTAAGAGTAATATTCTAGATCTTGGTCCTTATAAGCCTATCTTACATATTTTGTATAAAGATGGTCGTTTGATGAAAATTTATACTAACAATTGTATTCGTTTTGCAGCGTTTTGCTTCAGCAACACTGGAAGTGTGCAACTGAAAATTGGGTCGCTTTCCTCAAATCCAGGGTAAGGTTGACTAGGTTGTGTTCCTCATGTGCAAGGGGACTGGAGGTGGGAGTTGGAGTCAATATTGCTCTTATAGTTTAGCTGGTACTTATAAAACTACTTGATTACCTTTTTAGAATCCAAGGTAAGGATGACTAGGTTGTGAGAGTTGCTGTCAATATTTCTCTTATTAGCTGGTACTTATAAAACTACAACATCACCTTTTTAGAATCCCTTCCTTAGCTTCTTTAAGAGTCCCAAAATTGGTGGGAGAAGGTACAATTCTGGAGTAATTCCAGGTATCATGTAAGCAGCACCTTAGTGCATATTTTTGCAAAAGTAGGAAGGCCAAAACCCCACTCCCTGTTCCCAATGGTCTCTGACCATAACATCAGCCTGGTATGCTTCCATCAAATTTTCATCTAGTTATCTCTCTTTTTTTACAGCCTTTGTTCGTAGTGAAAGGCCTGAAAAGTTTCCTAACCTTAGGATTGACGTAAGTGTTTTGATATTAATGTCTGAGTGGATTGTTAAGATAAGTCATATTACAAATAAGATAGCTTCGGTGGTGCAGTGTTAGTACTTCCGGCTTTGGTGTGGAATGTCCTGGGCTTGGCTCATGGCAAAATTTAGGTGTCAAAACCTGGCTCTTTAAAATGGGGATTGAGAACTGAAGAATTCATTTTTTTAAATAATAAACATCCTCCCTTTATTTGGTAAATATCTGAAGAATTCATGATTTTTACTGCGATTTGTAATATTACCTGAACTTAGTTGTTGCAAGCTGTCCTGTAAAAAATTTGATTTTTGCTGTCCCAATCAAAAATGTGTTTGTGTGTTTTGTTTTTAGTTTGTGAGAGGAGCAGACCCAATTCTAAAGCTTCATGGTGAAGATGGTAGTATACAAGAAGAGCTCAGGTATGAAAATCATTATTCATTTTCTCTAATTATTACTGCGGTTTTCGATATTCTGCGAACTCGATGGTTGCAAACTGCATGCTGAAATTTGACTTTTCGCTGCCTTCAATCAAAAATAATCAGTCGGTATCTTTTATATCCATGACTGGTAGCAGTAAAAAAACAAATTTAACTGCAAGTCATTGAAATGTCTGAGTTTTCAGAATATCGAAAACCGTAGTAATGATGATTTCTTCCCATCCATGAAATAACTGTCATAATACTCACTTTCTGTTTGGTTGGGTGTGGACTGTCTTGAAACTGTATTCCCTCAGAGAACAGAACACAGTGTTCTCAGTATCTATGCATGCATGCCAGATTTTAAAGAAAAATACAAGAAAACAACAATACTTACAGCTTCCTTTATCTTTTTATATAACATATAAAGCAGCCTTTTCTATGCTCTCAGCAACAAAGAACTCAGGAATTGCTAAGAGCATTCTGAGTCACTTCAATTGCAAACGTCTGCACTACACTTGTTCTGAAGAGAGAATGTTTATACCAGAAACAGGACAAGTACTGTATTTGCGTCATTGATTTTAGTGGGAAAAATAAAACAATGGTTGGGCTTCCTGTGTGTACACTGTACCACAGGAAGCCTATAATCTTCTAATTACAACTTAATTTAATTTCAGAGTTTTTTACTAATTTTTGAATTTTTGTTTCAGTATTGACAAATGGAACACTGACAGTGTAGAAGAGTTTTTAACAGAAAAATTACAAACTTAGATACTAGATTTTTTTATGAATTCATGGATTCACTAGTATTAACTAAAGAAATTGAAGTTACGGCACAGTTATTCCAGTGATGACATCCCCTTGTTAAACCTGTTTACGACTGGCATTTGGTGATTGATGGATGGAAACAGCTTTGTGGCTTCATATTATTATGTTCTAATTTTTATTAATTGTTTGGTTGACTTCAAATGCTTAAAATTGAGACTATCAGTTGAATTCATATTTAAATTCACTTCCATATAGAATCTTTCGCTTGTGTGCTATGCCATAATGGTCATGTTAACACCCTGAGCTCCAAAGGCTACGAATAGAAAATTTTCACGGCATGCCAACAGTGTATTGCACATTCAAAAATGAAATCATCTGATATGCGTATGGCTTTATAAAAAGACAATAATAATTGTAATTTATATGGGACTAAAGACTGGTTCATACTAGTATTGGAATCAATGTACACAAACTCAGTAGCGCATTTATCACTTGGGTGTGAAAAAAGAAAAGCAAAACACTACTGCGTCTCAGTATGTTGCTTCCTATTCCTACACTAGTTTGAAGCAGACTTAAAATGAAATTTTATGCATAACATTTTAATGTATTTATCTATACGAAAAAATATCATGTGCACGCTCTAAACCCGTGAATAATATTTAGTACTAATTAGTAGTAATTAATACAGAATTCTTTGTTTCCTATTGTTTGATTCTCACTAAATTAGTATTTGTTTCACGGGTTTAGTGCGAGCACTCTACTTGCATTCAATCATGATCACTAAAATGAAAGAAAATTTCTAAAGTTTTAGTGAATACAGATATAAGTTTACCCCTATAAGCATTATACATGCATTATTTGAATGTATACATATTTTCATCGGTAGTACTTTTCACACTTTTCTTGCAGCTGGCGTTATGATGACCTCACGACAAACCATATGCTATTGGGCTTGTGAGGTCTGATGCTTGCCAGAGCTACATCAAAGAAAATATCAATCTATATATTATCCTTTCCATCAGTAAATTAATTTCATAGCCATTAATGATTAGTAAATCTAGATTGTGTATTTAGTTTGTTGTGAAATATGGTCAGCCTGCATTCAATCCATTTACTCTTATGTATTAATCACTTGGAAACAATAAAGCTTAGCTAATTTCTTCTTAAAAAGACCTTTACAACTAATTATACCCCAGCCCAACAGCATCTGAAAGCTGTACATTTTCCTGCCAACCCATTCTTAATAAAAAGACCAGCAAAACAAGACTACGTTTCGTTTTCGTCATGACAACATCTTCAGGTCAGAAGAATAAGATTTAGAAAGGTGCACATATATGGCAATAAAGTTCATTTATACATGGTGACAGTGTAACATATTCTTGTTTCACTGGTCTTCTTTAAATTATTTACCCAGCTTTCCAAACCAAAATAGATACTGCAGAAGGTAGGAGTTGCATAGCGAAGGTTAAAATACAGTACACCCCTAGTCTGCGCAGTCAGGCGTTCCTTGTGGGTTTTGGGGAGGCTTTGGGATACCCACAAGGAACGCCTGGCTAAGCAGGCTAAGTACACCCCTACTGAGTAAAAACCCAAAGGGAGCAAATAATAGTTGAAATGTATAGTTCTAGAAATTATCCACAGCCCCAATAGAGGAATTTTTTAAAAGACCCTCTGCCCCCAGAAATTTCTTAAATACAAACTGTAATAGTTCTTTCTCTGACCCCTCTACCCCTCGCAAATTTCAAACTCCTCTGTGGGGGTATGGATAATTTCTTTAACTACACTATGTCCATGAAAACATCGAGTCAAATCCATAGGAAATCCCTTTTTTATTATTTTAATAAGGAGTGACTGAAGAAGAGATGGAGTAGACTCAAATTTCATATTTGTTTTCTTTTGTTTTACTTTGACCCTGAATGTTTTTCCAACCGTGATTTTTTTTTGATAAATGGGGAGCACCCCTGGTTTCCATCCCACCCATTAGAAATTATCATCATGAGCCATGTGTAGACATTTTCTGGAATGAACACTTTGTACAGCAGTTGGTAAGTCTACCCTTAGCCTAGCCTTTTTCAATTCATATTTTCCCACAGTTTTCTAAATAAAAAGTCAGAGCCAAAGTTATCAAAAAACATAAATTTTATTACAATAGTCACTCACACTCGATGGATGGTTGTA